GCCGGGGAGCTGCACGTCGGGCTCTGCCGTCCTCTCGTCGCGGACGAGTGGATTTTTCAAGCCCTGCACATGTACCAATAAACACTTCTTTTAGAAGAAGTGTGCCAACTTCAGTTAGTTGTATCTAGATCCCTGGCTTCACTTTCTCAGAGATAGACCAGTAATCATTACCTAAAGGTGCCAATGTCTGCATCATGCCCATACAATTATAGTTTTGTGCCTTTGAATGGTGATTTGATTCCTTCATGAAACATATATGTTTATTTTATTGAATTATATAATAAAAATATTTTATTATGTTATATGTAAATAAATTCTATTTTGTGACAGCATGTTGCTTTTGTGTTTATGTATTTTGTTATACTTATTTACACATGAAAGAGAATAGCACGCGTAATAGCAAAGTGTCTGAAATAAATATCTGTCATACACAGTAAAAAAAAAGCCCATTCTCCTTCACCTGTTATTGTGGATAACATTACCTGTTTAAGATATTTTTGCACTTGAAGACCATTGTGCAGAAATTAAAATTTTTTAAAATGAGAACCTGAATCAAGTCTGCTACTTGGAATTAGGGGTCCTCTGTCCCTATGTCAGCCTTTAGATGTTATATATCTGTACCGAAGCACACCAAGTGCTTCGGTACCAATAGACTTTTTCTTTTTATTTACTATTGGGCTGAACTGATTACTGACTCCAGCCACATCAGCACAAGGGGACTCATAATAGGTTTAAAATGATGAGTGAAACTACTCCCATATTGGGGCTATGTGAAAGAAGTGACCATGGTGAGAAGGCCAAGAGGTAGACTGAATGATTTAATCAGGAGCTGTCTATGCATGCTGACATATAGGCGTTGTTTTACTAAAGGTTAACAGGCTGTTCACTTTGCAACTTTCCAGTGTCAATGTGGGGAAAATTCACTTTGCAAAAAATACCCAATCATGTATAAGGAAAATGTAAAAAAAAAAAATAGCTTTGCTTGTACATGATTGGATGATGGAAGTCACAGACCTTCACTTAAAGTGACTTTAAAGTCAAAAATATTTTTCCCTCCCCCAATGTTAATGAAAGCACTTACCTTAAATTATGTTTCTTAATCCGATCTTCTGCTTTCTTGTGGTTTTCATTTGTCCCTCCAGCACTGCTGCGGGTCTCCGATCCAGCACTGACTCCTCTGTCCTTGCTGACACTTCCTGTCCAACGGTGTCTGTGTGGGTGCACGCATCCATATACTTACCTTGTGTCTCTCCTCGTCTCCCGGCCAAAAATGTGAACTGCGCATGCACCCGCCCCAAGATGCTTTGCGGCCGCCCGAGAATTTTCACATTTTAAGACGGGAGCGCGCGGGAAAGACACAGGTAAGTATTAACCTCTTTTAAAGCGTTGTTTTTTTTTTTTACACTTTGCATATATATCTACTGCTTGCTAGCAGTAGATATATGCAAAAAAACCTGGAGGGTTTAATAACCCTTTAATTCACTAAGAGGAAATTCCCTTGCAAAGTAAACAGCCTATTTGCCTCTAGTAAATCAACCCTGTAGCAGTATAATATCAAGAAAACCGCATTAAAATAAATACATACTTATGTGATGTTTGAGCATACATAACTATTTTCTAAAGCCTCTAGAGGGCACCTGTAGCTCTCGTGACTTTATTTACAGAAGGGCTGGCTTGCTGTCATCAGTTTGTGATGGATAACTTGGAACTTGCACCACTTGGACCATTTTGCTTTGGTCTAAGGCAGAAGTTAAGACAGGAGCTAAAGTGAAGTTTTACTTCTGAAACATAAGTAAACCATTTATCATGGGATATTCACCGTAGCTAGTTGGTGCAATAAGTAAGAATACTCCATCAGGTAAGTGTAATATCGTTACTGTCTAATTTCTATGTTACATGTCATAATGTCTGGTACTTGCTTACCTGCATAAAGTCTTTCAATGAGCGCTGCTCAGTCACAATACAATTTAGACTGAACAAACTAGCCTTGTTCATCCATTGTATGAGGATTATTTAACCCCTCCATGACTGAGCTTGTTTTTAGTTTCTGTTCGTAAATGACTGACACACTTTTGACATTTTTGCTAAGACCCCTAATGTCACCTAGGGACCCCCCAGAGAAGCTGATGAAGCAGAGATCTGTTTCATCAGCTTCTGTAGCTGGAAAGTGACACTGAATGCAGGAAGTGATGTAATATACATCACTTCCTGCATTCGGGGACTGGAGAGTAGATCAAAGGGAGTTGTGTACTGAACTGTACAGAGCCGTGCCAGTCCCGGCCGCACCGGGCACAGCGGATCTCCGGACCGGCAACGGCAGTGACAGCTGCTGCTAATACAAGCAATCGGGCGTCTCGAGATGCTCGATCGCTTGAATGTAAAGCTCCAGGCCGGCCGTGTAATTACAACGGCCGGCCGGGGAGCTGCACGTCGGGCTCTGCCGTCCTCTCGTCGCGGACGAGTGGATTTTTCAAGCCCTGCACATGTACCAATAAACACTTCTTTTAGAAGAAGTGTGCCAACTTCAGTTAGTTGTATCTAGATCCCTGGCTTCACTTTCTCAGAGATAGACCAGTAATCATTACCTAAAGGTGCCAATGTCTGCATCATGCCCATACAATTATAGTTTTGTGCCTTTGAATGGTGATTTGATTCCTTCATGAAACATATATGTTTATTTTATTGAATTATATAATAAAAATATTTTATTATGTTATATGTAAATAAATTCTATTTTGTGACAGCATGTTGCTTTTGTGTTTATGTATTTTGTTATACTTATTTACACATGAAAGAGAATAGCACGCGTAATAGCAAAGTGTCTGAAATAAATATCTGTCATACACAGTAAAAAAAAAGCCCATTCTCCTTCACCTGTTATTGTGGATAACATTACCTGTTTAAGATATTTTTGCACTTGAAGACCATTGTGCAGAAATTAAAATTTTTTAAAATGAGAACCTGAATCAAGTCTGCTACTTGGAATTAGGGGTCCTCTGTCCCTATGTCAGCCTTTAGATGTTATATATCTGTACCGAAGCACACCAAGTGCTTCGGTACCAATAGACTTTTTCTTTTTATTTACTATTGGGCTGAACTGATTACTGACTCCAGCCACATCAGCACAAGGGGACTCATAATAGGTTTAAAATGATGAGTGAAACTACTCCCATATTGGGGCTATGTGAAAGAAGTGACCATGGTGAGAAGGCCAAGAGGTAGACTGAATGATTTAATCAGGAGCTGTCTATGCATGCTGACATATAGGCGTTGTTTTACTAAAGGTTAACAGGCTGTTCACTTTGCAACTTTCCAGTGTCAATGTGGGGAAAATTCACTTTGCAAAAAATACCCAATCATGTATAAGGAAAATGTAAAAAAAAAAAATAGCTTTGCTTGTACATGATTGGATGATGGAAGTCACAGACCTTCACTTAAAGTGACTTTAAAGTCAAAAATATTTTTCCCTCCCCCAATGTTAATGAAAGCACTTACCTTAAATTATGTTTCTTAATCCGATCTTCTGCTTTCTTGTGGTTTTCATTTGTCCCTCCAGCACTGCTGCGGGTCTCCGATCCAGCACTGACTCCTCTGTCCTTGCTGACACTTCCTGTCCAACGGTGTCTGTGTGGGTGCACGCATCCATATACTTACCTTGTGTCTCTCCTCGTCTCCCGGCCAAAAATGTGAACTGCGCATGCACCCGCCCCAAGATGCTTTGCGGCCGCCCGAGAATTTTCACATTTTAAGACGGGAGCGCGCGGGAAAGACACAGGTAAGTATTAACCTCTTTTAAAGCGTTGTTTTTTTTTTTTACACTTTGCATATATATCTACTGCTTGCTAGCAGTAGATATATGCAAAAAAACCTGGAGGGTTTAATAACCCTTTAATTCACTAAGAGGAAATTCCCTTGCAAAGTAAACAGCCTATTTGCCTCTAGTAAATCAACCCTGTAGCAGTATAATATCAAGAAAACCGCATTAAAATAAATACATACTTATGTGATGTTTGAGCATACATAACTATTTTCTAAAGCCTCTAGAGGGCACCTGTAGCTCTCGTGACTTTATTTACAGAAGGGCTGGCTTGCTGTCATCAGTTTGTGATGGATAACTTGGAACTTGCACCACTTGGACCATTTTGCTTTGGTCTAAGGCAGAAGTTAAGACAGGAGCTAAAGTGAAGTTTTACTTCTGAAACATAAGTAAACCATTTATCATGGGATATTCACCGTAGCTAGTTGGTGCAATAAGTAAGAATACTCCATCAGGTAAGTGTAA